CTGAGTGATATATTAACTGGTAAATTAAACTGTTAGTAATGTCCAAACATTCTTCTTGGGCTTCTTCTGTGTGTTGTCAAACATCTTTTTTCAATCCGGTCACAGTTAGTTCTATGTTAGTATGTTAGTGATGTTCCTTTGAATTTCTGTTAAAAAGTCTCTTCAGGGCGCATTCAGAACCGCTTCTTTGCGTGCTGATTACTTTTACACTCCCGATGACGTGGAGGAGCTTCCTCTGTTTTCCTCACCTTCCAGCTTTTTTCAATCGTCCTTCGGGTTGCTGTTAACTCTTTCAGTTCATGTGCTATAAATCCTCTTCCTTTCATGCCGTTTCGGGAGATCTCCAGCTTTGAGAATGGTATTAAATTTCAATTTCGCTTTTATCCGCTCCCAAACTCTCCGTTGGATCCTCCTCTGCAACTGTTGACTTTTATAAGCGCTTACAAGGCACTTCTCGCTGTCACAGTTCAAACTTTTCCATTTTTCACAATCCCCCCGTCAGATTCACAGCCATAAACAATCCAAGCATTAAGCAGCCGGCTCTCACATATAAGCAAACGCCCAGACGGAAGTCCCTCCCTTCTTCTCCGCTTGCCTTTGCCCAGCTCCGACATCTTTTTTTTATTGTTTATTTTCAATAAAGTTCTTAAAATGCGCTCCAGAGAAACAAAACTTTTTCTTGCTTTATTTCAAATACATCAAAGGAAAACACCACTATTCGCTCAGTCCATTCCCCCCTCCTTTTCTTTTTCGCTTATGCATTTAGAGGATTAACCTCCTCGACTTTTTCGCTGGGGGGGGGGAAGCGGTTTTAGTTCTTTTTCTCTGCATTTTGACAACTCACAGTTAAGCCGATCTTTTCTTTTTCCATTTTTTCGGATGGTCGCTTTATCACTCGGTGACGTCTGGTGGCTCCGCTAAACCCCGTGAAATGGGGTCGCTCACGCAGCAAGGTCCATTGGGGCAGGGCATGGCGGGAGCCTCGGTCCTCGACCTCTCGGCCGAAAGAGAGACTCCCCCCTGGTGCGCCCTAAAGCGCCCCGGATCCGAGCTCCTCCATTCCTGAGGGGCTCGTTCGGGTCTCCGCTCGCGCGGATTCCCTCCTCCACCGCGGGCGGGCGAGACGACCTCGGGAGCGACCCGAGGATGCGTCCGCCATTCGCGGGAGCCAGACCGGAAGCCCCCAGAGTCCACCATTCTTAATCAGTTTAGTGTAGTGGTTAGGAGTGCAGACTCTAATATGGGAAAACTGGGTTTGATTTCCCCACTCCTCCACATGCGGCTGTTGGTGTGACCTTGAGTCATTCACAAGTTCTCTCAGAGCTGTTCTCTCAAGCGCAGTTCTCAAAAGAGCTCTCTCAGCCCCACCTACCTCACAGGGTGTCTGTGTGGGGAGGGGAAGGGAAAGGAGATTGTAAGCCGCTCTGAGACTCCTTTGGATTTATACCCCGCCTTCACTACCCAATCTTCTCCTCCTCTTCCTTCTTCTTCTCCACCACCACCACCACACTGGCTCCAAGTCTGAATCTTGGTTGATTGTAAACATACATTTCAGAACGGTTGTCTTTTAACCAGAGAAAGAAATGTTAGGAGTCTGGCAAACAGCCAGTGACATGGAAGCGAGTGACCACAACGCTGGCACAAGACGAACAGGAGAAAGATTTTGGGACCCAAGGGCCGGAAGAATGCTGACATTTCATCTCTCCCGTGGAGGAATTTGCGGGGACTTTCTTACAATTCCTTGGGGCAGTTTTAACGCAACCTATTTTTCAGCATGGCTACACGCAGCTTGACAGAAAGGAAATTCCGTATTTGCGAATAGAACAGCGGGGTGGGGAGGAGGCATAAGTTGGCACCGTAGAGAAACCACAGCAGGCTGACTTGACTGTGTGTGTGTATACACACCCACACACGTGTACACCTAATAAAAGCTGTGGTTTGTGGCAGCTGGCAACTGTGGTTAGAAGGGGGGGAGAAGAAGAAGAGATTGGATTTATACCCCGCCCTTCACTACCCAAAGGTGTCTCAGAGCGGCTTACAAACTCCTTTCCCTTCCCCTCCTCACAACAGACACCCTGTGAGGTGGGTGAGGCTGAGAGAGCTCTTGACAGAAAATGCTCTTTTCTCAAGAACAGCTCTTATCAGAACTATGGCTTGCCCAAGGTCATCCAGCCAGGTGCAAGTGGAGGAGTGGGGCATCAAACCCGGTTCTCCCAGATTGGAGTCCGTGCACTTAACCACTACACCAAACTACAGCAAGAAAGCCCCAAGAACGGTTTCTAAGTAAGTTAAAAATAGTTTGAGCAAGGCGTATCTTTGTGGGGAGGGGAAGGGAAAGGAGACTGTAAGCTGCTCTGAGACTTCGAGTGAAGGGCAGGGTATAAATCCAGTCCCTCCTCCTCCTTTCTCTGCTTGAGTGACAGGACAGCTTATGCTGTGATCGATTCTCTGTTCTGAATCCAGGAAACAGTGAAGGGAACTAGACTTTCCTGGTCAAGATTTTGGCCATCTGTTGTGCTAAAAAATCCGCCCTTCAGCCTTCAATACAGAGTAAGACTTGTCATCCATGTAGCTTTCTAAGGGTCTCCATTGGAGGTGTTTCCTAGCTGTGCTGTGGAGTTTCTCTTCAGTGAAGACACTGGTTGCTCTTCATCTGAAGGATATATGGCTGAATTGTATCTCCATGCTTGCTTCCCCTCCTGTCCTACCCCCTCATCCAGGTACTTTGCTGCTGCAAAGTGCTGTCTAGTCGCAGCTGGCCTCCAGCGACCCTATAGGATTTTCAAGGCAAGAGATGAACAGAGGTGGTTTGTCACTGCCTGCCTCTGCCCAACAACCCTGGACTTTCCTTGGTGGTCTCCCATCCAAATACTAAACTGGGCTGACCCTTCTAACCTCCGAAATGTGAGAATATCGGGCCACCCTGGGCCTTCCAGATCAGGGCAAAAGAGGAACAGAGGTGGTTTGCTATTGCCTGCCTCTGTGTAGCAACCCTGGACTTTCCTTGGTGGTCTCCCATCCAAATACTAAACTGGGCTGACCCTTCTAACCTCCGAAATGTGAGAATATCGGGCCACCCTGGGCCTTCCAGATCAGGGCAAAAGAGGAACAGAGGTGGTTTGCTATTGCCTGCCTCTGTGTAGCAACCCTGGACTTTCCTTGGTGGTCTCCCATCCAAATACTAAACAGGGCCGACCCTGCTAACTTCCGAAATGTGAGAAGATCGGGCCACCCTGGACCTTCCAGGTCAGGGCAAAAGAGGAACAGAGGTGGTTTGCCATTGCCTGCCTCTGCACAGCAACCCTGGGCTTTCCTTGGTGGTCTCCGATCCAAATACTAAACAGGGCTGACCCTGCTTAGCTTCTGAGATTCGGTTAGCATGGGCTATCCAGACCAGGGGCAGGGGTGTTCAGAGGTAGTTTGCCATTGCCTGCCTCTGCACAGCAACCCTGGGCTTTCCTTGGTGGTCTCCGATCCAAATACTAAACAGGGCCGACCCTGCTAACTTCCGAAATGTGAGAAGATCGGGCCACCCTGGACCTTCCAGGTCAGGGCAAAAGAGGAACAGAGGTGGTTTGCCATTGCCTGCCTCTGCACAGCAACCCTGGACTTTCCTTGGTGGTCTCCGATCCAAATACTAAACAGGGCTGACCCTGCTTAGCTTCTGAGATTCGGTTAGCATGGGCTATCCAGACCAGGGGCAGGGGTGTTCAGAGGTGGTTTGCCATTGCCTGCCTCTGCACAGCAACCCTGGGCTTTCCTTGGTGGTCTCCCATCCAAATACTAAACAGGGCTGACCCTGCTTAGCTTCTGAGACTGGGTTAGCGTGGGCTATCCAGACCAGGGGCAGAGGTGTTCAGAGGTGGTTTTCCATTGCCTGCCTCCGTGTATCAACGTTGGACTTCCATTGTGGTCTCCCATTCGAGTACGAACCAGGGCTGACTCTCCTACTGTCTAAGCTCTGATAAGCTCAGACTAGTCTGGACTATTTAGGCTGCTAATAATTAAGTGTTGGAAATCCAAACAAAACATCCGTGGCAAAAATAATGAAGAGTCAATAAAGATACGTGTGCAAAATCATTTACTTTAGTAATGCGTGTGAGCGATGATAGAAGAGAATTTTCTACAGAATTACTACAGTGTATGATTTTGCACACACCTTTATTGTCTCTTCGTTATTTTTGTCACGGATGTTTTGTTTGGATTTCCACCTCCTCCCGTGATCTCTCATTTTTGGCTTCTATAATAATTAAGTGTTGTCCGGTCAAGTTATGGTGATCCTGTAGGATTTTCAAGGCAAGAGATGTTCCAAGGTGGTCTGCTGTTGCCTGCCTCTGCATAACGACCCTGAACTTCCTTGGTGGTCTCCCATCCAAGTACTCCCCAGGGCTGGCCCTTCTTAGCTTCTGAGATCTGACGGGATCGGGCCAGCCTGGGCCATCCAGGTCAAGGGAAGAGACGAGCAGAGGTGTTCTGCCATCACCTGCCTCTGCATAGCAACCGTGGAATTCCATGATGGTCTTCCATCCAAATACTAACCAAAGCTGAGCCTGCTTAACTTCCAGGATCTAGACTAGATCAGGCTAGCCGGGGCCATCCAGGACAGGCCGTCAGAGACAGACAGAGGTGTTCTGCCATTGCCTGCCTCTGCATAGCAACCCTGGGCTTCCTTGGTGGTCTCCCATGCACGTACTAACCAGGGCCTACTTATCTTCTGAGATGTGACGAGATCAGGCTAGCCTGCACCATCCACAAACATACCCACAAATCAATACACAACAAGAGCATATCACTTTATTCAGCGTCTGGTGAGCATTCCCTACTTGGGACACGGTTAGTAGGGTACGGTTGCGTAGGCCGCCGGATTTGTACAGAACCGGCAAGGTTCAAAGGCAGCCTGGCTCTGTTCGGTCCCAAAGCAGAGGTGTAGTAGATTCCTGCTTCAAAGTCGGAATGGGCCCGATCCTTACCCTCCTCTGTTCTCCTCTCCACCCCCACAGCAGACCGAGAGTTCATCGAAGGGAGGCGTCGAGCGTTGAAGCGCTTCATCAACCTGGTGGCAAGGCACCCTCCATTCTCAGAAGATGTCCTCCTCAAACTCTTCCTGTCCTTCAGCGGCTCGGTGAGTTTTTGGGCCCGCTGGGGAGAGGTGTCGCGTAGACGGGCTTCATGCCCTGTAGGGACTCCGAGCGCAGCCCCTCCCCTAATCACTTGTGTGGGTTTGGCTAGGAAAGGCAACGACAGGTGTAAAAGTGCCGGCCATGGGGGTGGGGAAAAGAGGGAAAGCAGCGGTAGGAGTGCAGAGGTGGAAAAATTGGGGGGCTGGCAGGGAATGGATGGGAGTTCCCTCTCTTGTGAGTCTCACAAGTTACCACTCATAAGAATGAATCTGCTGTCTGCTGATTTGTCAAGAGAATTGTCTGATCACTTCTCCCCGCCTTTTAAGAACATCAGAGGAGGCTTGTTGGATCAGACCAATAGTCCATCTAGTCCAGCATCCCGTCTCACACAGCGGCCAACCAGCTCCTCTGGAGGGCCAACAACAGGGCATGGAGTCTGAGGCCTTCCCCTGAGAAGAACCTCAGAAGAGCCCTGCTGCATCAGACCAGTGGCCCATCTAGTCCAGCATCCTGTCTCACACAGCTCCTCTGGATTTCCAACAATGGGGCATGGAGGCTGAGGCCTTCCCCTGATGTTGCCTCCTGGCTCCAGGATTCAGAGGTTTAGTGCCCCCGAATGTTCCCCTCAGTCACAGTGGTTAGTATCCACTGATAGACTTAACGTAAGAAGAGCCCTACTGGATCAGACCAATAGTCCATCTAGTCCAGCATCCCGTCTCACACAGCGGCCACCCAGTTCCTCTGGAGGGTCAACAACAGGGTGTAGAGACCAAGGCCTTCCCCTGATGTTTCCTTCTGGCTCTGGGATTCAGAGGTTTAGTGCCCCCGAATGTTCCCCTCAGTCACAGTGGTTAGTATCCACTGATAGACTTAACGTAAGAAGAGCCCTACTGGATCAGACCAATAGTCCATCTAGTCCAGCATCCTGCCTTACACAGTGGCCACCCAGTTCCTCTGGAGGGCCAACCAGAGGGCATAGAGGCCGAGGCCTTCCCCTGATGTTGCCTCCTGGCTCCAGGATTCAGAGGTTTAGTGCTTCTGAACATGGAGGTTCCCCTCAGCCACCATGGCTGGTAGCCACTGATAGACTCATCCTCCATGAATCTATCTCATTCCCTTTTCAAGCTGTGTATCCCTGTGGCCATCGCTACATTCTCCGGCAGCGAATCCCACGTTTGAATCACTCTGTGTCAAGTCGTATTTCCTTTTGCCCGTCATGAATCTTTTTTTCTCTTGTTTTCGAAGGATGTGCAAAACAAACTGAAAGAGCTGGTCCAGGGCGTGGGGGATGAGTTCATGATCTGCAAGTTCGCCACCCAAGCCAAGGTATTGCCTACGGGCCGCTGGAACACCTCTTACGCGCTTGGAACGCTTCTTACTTGCTTGGCAAGCAGAAGGGGCTCAACCTGTGTTGGAAACTTTCTGGGGCTTTCCTTCCATTGCCGAGTGAATGCCGGGCTGCAGTTCAGGTTACAGTCAAGCCGGCTTAAACTCTGCTGGCATCAGTGGGAATTAAGCTGACTAACTGAAGGCAGGATAAGCAACTGCTGTCTATCGCTGGGAGCAGAAGGGAGAGGGTGTGGTTGCTGTCAGCTCTGGGTTGGGAAATACCTGGAGATTTCGGGGGTGGAACCCGAGGAGGGTGGGGTTTGGGGAGGGGCGGGACTTCGATGGGGCATCAAGCCACAGAGTTCACCTTCCAAATCAGCCGTTTTATCCAGGTGAACTGATCTCTGTCGCTTGGAGATCAGTCGTAATAGCGGGAGATCTCCCACCTGGAAGATGGATCAAGGTGGGCAGCCGTGTTGGTCTGAAGCCATAGAACAAAGTTAGAGTCCAGACTGGGCACCTTTAAGACCAGCAAAGTTTTATTCAAGGTGTGAGCTTTCGTGTGCGCGCACACTTCGTCAGACATTGAAATGGAATTACAGATCATAGTTGTATATATCGGTGCCGTGTTAAATTATCATGCAAAATAATGAAAATATTTCTTAACAGCTCAAAAGAATGACAAGCTGGTTTCTGGTACTCTGCACAGCCAAGATGCTGTAAAGTTTGCTTCCGTGCTAGAGGGGGGGGGGGGGGGGGGGGGGGTGTCTACGGACGGACGGGATTCTCACAGGTCAGGACACATCAGTCTGCAGTTCGAAAGTATTTATTACCCTTGTTGTTTCCCCCCACACACAGTTGAACTGAAACAGATGATACCAGAAACCAGCTTGCCATTTTTATGATCTGTTAAAAAATATTTTCACTATTCTGCATGCTAATTTAACAAGCCACCTATATATACAACTATGACCTGTAATTCCATTTCAGTGTCTGACGAAGTGTGTGCACACACGAAAGCTCACATCTTGAATAAAACTTTGTTGGTCTTCAAGGTGCCCCTGGATTCTAAACTGGAGGATGGCAAACCTTGAGAGGCGTGATGTCTTTGCTTAGTCAACAACTGCTTTGGGTGCTCGCTGGAAAAGCGGTAGATAAATATTTTCCATAAATGATGCTATCTACTGTCCGTGTAGTTGTTTTGACCTGTGGCGTGTGCAAGGATCAGGTGAGTGTAGGCCATAGAAATCTAAAACACATTGCTTTAAGAATTCAACTCGAGTCAAGTGGAACGTTAGTTGCCCACAAGATTTTCGGGGTACAAACGTTCGAGAGCTGAAGCTTCCTTCTTCGGATACCGGACTATCAAATGTGCTTTGGGAGTTGGAAATCCTGACTGCTTCTAACTTTTGGTTCATAGCAAGGATACCTATTACAGCACCCATTACTGTAGGTGGCGTTCCCTTACCTAATCCTCGCCTTACCAAATATTTGCCTTTTCCTCTTGGCTTCCCGATCCACTGTTCTGTCATAACCCTGGCAGACACTGTGGCAATTATAACTCTTGCAATGCGCCCACAATGACTCATGCACCTGCCATTTCCCACCACTGTGCTGGGTAAGGGTGTTCTGTGATGAGAGTTGCCGGCCTCCAGGTGAGAATATTCAAATACTAAAGCGCCATATGTAATAAAGTATATATTAAGATTTAAATAAACATGTAGATTATAGAAACAGTATTTGTATTGTGTCAGTTGTCGTAAAGGTACAATACATTCACAGACTTAAATGATACGAACGAAACGAAACACATGCACAATATTTCAAGAGATTAACACTTTAAAGAATTTTTGGAAGTGAATTTCTGTAGGCCATCACCACGTTCTGAAACTCCACCAGCCATTCCCTCTTTCAACTATATGTTCTAAGTCTTGAGAAATAAGGAGCTAATTTTGCCCTTTATACTACGCTTCCAGAAATTCTGATCCATAAACAGTTGAAGCTGTAAGACCGGATGTTGGTGCACAGAAATGGGATTCTTCTTACCAGCTCCCTGTAGTCTTGCGAGCTTCGTGTTGTGAACCTGACATTTGTTTACAATGCTTTGAAATGTTAACTTCTTGAAATATTGTGCATGTGTTTAGTTTTGTTTGTATCATTTAAGTGTGTGAATGTATTGTACCTTTACAAGAACTGACACAATACAAACATTATTGTGGGTACACTGATTTTGATACAGAAAATATGGGTTTGTCGGTTCTACTCTGAGAAAGCTTCTTAGCGCAACGAGACAGCCCATAGCTAGCAAGCTCATAAGGGAAAATCTTCTGGAACTATTGGATTCTTCTATGAGAACCGCCCTTCTGGGATTAACATCCTTTGGAACGTTGTTCACTCCTCTGAGAGTGCTCAGTAATTCTGTATAAGAAAATTCTACTATGAACTTTCTGTGATTTTGCAATTATTTGCACTCCAAGTGTTTTTATACAAGTATAATCTATATATCTAATACCGAACATGCCCCCTGCGTGCAGATACTTATTTCCGCACATCGGGGGCACCTGGGGGGGAGGGAGATGTTTGTGCACACTTGGGGCAATCCCCAGGTGTGCACAAAAATCTAAAAACCCGGGAAAAATATCGGGGGGATACTTAAATCCTCCCAAAAGTGACAGAGCGTCCCCTGCGCATGCGCAGGGAACGCTCTGCGAACTCCCTCGCCGCCGCCGCTTTGGAGGGGGTGGAGGGGGGTTTGAGGAGACGGGGGGGAACTGGTGGGATGGGGGGAACTTACATCCTCCTGCTGCTTCCTCCTCTGCCTCATAAGTGTGGAGGTCCCCCCCCGCGAGTATCGCGGGTCCCGCCCCTTGTAGATTCTGTATCTTTCCTTGTTCTTAAACTTGTATGGATTTAATAAGCATAATATACAGTACATTTTGATACGGAATTGGTTTGGTGCACGGTCTTGATGTTGTTTCCTGTTTCTAACTGTGCAGCAATGTTCCCTCTAACCTGAGTTGGTGTGAGCTAGCTCACAGTTTTTTAGCCTGAGGCTCACAGGTTTTTGTCTTCGCTCAGGCAGGATGGCTCCAGAGCAAACAAATTTATGCAGTAGCCAAATCGCTCGCTCACAACTTTAATGCCCAGTGGCTCACAAAGGATAATTTTTGCTCACAAGACTCCACAGCTTAGAGGGAGCGTTGCTGTGCAGGTACCTTTTTTTGTCATTTCCCCTGGAGGAAGTGTCTGCTTTGGAGAGGGGACTCTAGGACATGTGGTCCCTACCCTCCCGAGGCCCTGTCCCCCAAATCTCCAGGAATTTCACAACCCAGAGCCCTAGTTGTGGCCCATGCATCAGTAGACCCAGTGAAACTTTCCATACGTTTGAAGGTTGCAGTGCTGGCATTTTGAGGACTGGTGTGGTGGAGGCTGTTGGCGTGGGGTGGTGCAGAGGACCAACCTCTGCTGCTCAGAATCTGATCGGCGCACTGACAGATTCACGCGTCCTGGGCCTTAGCACACTGCTCCCCCCCCCCGGCTTTCTCCCTTTGCCGCGAGTTGTTTGCGCCTTTCAGACGGCTGTCCAAAGCCTTGCAGGATCGGTCAGCTCTACCCTTGTGCTCTCCTGTAGGATTTCCTGCCCGCCGACATCCAGCTCCAGTTCGCGGCCAGCCGGGAGCTGATCCGAAACATCTACAACAGTTTCTACAAGCTACGGGACCGGGCGGAGCGGATTGCCACCCGAGCGGTTGACAACGCCGCTGACCTCCTCATATTTGGGAAGGAGCTGAGGTTAGAACAGGAAGGGGGTGGGTGGGCTGGTCTCATAAGGAAAGAAGAGGAGCCATGTTGGATCAGGCCAGCGGCCCACCCAGTCCAACACTCTCTGTCATACAGTGGCCAAAACCCAGGTGCCATCAGGAGCTCCACCAGTGGGGCCAGAACTCCAGAACCCCTCTCACGGTTGCCCCTCCAAACACCAAGAAGGCAGAGCATCACTGTCCCAGACATAAGAGCATAAGAGAAGCCATGTTTGGTGTAGTGGTTAAGTGCACGGACTCTAATCTGGGAGAACGGGGTTTGATGACCTTGGGCAAGCCATAGTTCTGTCAGAGTTGTCCTTGAAAGAGCAGTTTCTGTCAGAGTTCTCTCAGCCCCACGTACCTCACAGGGTGTCTGTTGTGGGGAGGGGAAGGGAGAGGAGTTTGTAAACCTCTCTGAGAGAAGGACGGGGTAGAAATCCAATCTCCTCCTCCTCTTCCTCCTCCTCCTCCATCATCATCATCCATCATCATCATCATGTTGGATCAGGCCAACGGCCCATCCAGTCTTACACTCTTATGTCACACAGTGGTCAGTGCCATCAGGAGGTCCACCAGCAGGGCCAGAACTCCAGAAGCCCTTCCACTGTTGCCCCCCAAGCACCAAGAAGACAGAGTATCACTGCCCCAGACATAAGAACATAAGAGAACCCAATGTTGGATCAGGCCAATGGCCCATCCAGACCAACACTCTGTCACTCAGTGGCCAATACCCAGGTGCCACCAGGAGGTCCACCAGCGGGGCCAGAACTCCAGGCTGGATTACTGTAACTCGCTCTACACTGGGCTGCCCTTGAGGTTGACTCGGAAACTCCAACTGGTTCAAAATGCAGTGGCGGGGGCTCCTTCCGTGGGCACCTCTTAGAGCACATATCCAACCAGTGCTCCAACAGCTGCACTTGCTCTCAGTGGAGTACGAATCCAGTTCAAGGTTTCGGTATTAACCTTCAAAGCCCTGAGCAGTCTGGGACCTACATATTTACAGGATCGCCTCTCCTCCTGTGTCTCTCAAAGAGTGTTACACTCATCTGAACAACAGCTGCTCGTGATCACCAACCCTAAGGAAATTCGTTTAGTCTTGACCAGAGCTGGAGCCTTTTCGCCTCTGTCTCCGGCCTGGTGGAACACACTCCCGCGTGAGATCAGGGCCCTGGCGGGATCTGCTTCAGTTCTGCAGGGTCTGTAAAATGGAGAAGTTCTGCTGGGCCTTTGGTTGATGTGATGGTTGTCTCATGATTTTGGCCTACCCTCCCACCCCCACCCCTGACTTAGCTTATTCAGTCATTGTGGGGGTGTTCGCCTACCACCCTTTTACAATCTTGGGCATTTTATAGACCTATGAGCTGTCTGGGTGTGTTAAATTACGTTGAATTATTGAACTGCAGAATGTTTTTATTGTTTTATCTGCATTCTTAATCTGTTGGGAGCCGCCCTGAGCCCTGCATGCAGGGAAGGGCGAGATAAAAATCCGAGCAATTCCAGAAGCTTCCCCCACTGTTGCCCCCCCCCCCCAAGCACCAAGGATACAGAGCATCACAGCCTCTTGTGGGCATCCCTCTTACGGGGGACCTTGGAAGAGTTCCTGTTTACGTGCTGGTCTATGGAGCAAGCACACATAAGGAACGCCAGTATTCTGAAGCTGAGTTTTCTTCTAATCGTGTACTCCCTGGAAAGGCAAAGAGGGTGTGTATTGTCTGAATGATGTGTGTTCTTAGGGAGCAGGACATTCTTCCTAAGAAAGAAGCTGCAAGGAATGGCTCTTGGCCTGACTTTGGTTGTTGCCAATTTAACCCCATTCAGTTGGACCAAGAGCCACCGTGGTGGAGCAGATAGAGCTGGGTTGGAGTCCTCACCTCTACCACAGAAGCCTGCTGGGTGACCTTGGGCCTGTCACACGGTCTAAAAATGGCCAACCTCCAAGGATTGTTGTGAGAGAACAGAGGAGGAGACAATCATGCTCTAAGCTGTTTTGAGTCCCAGCTGGAGAGAAAAGCAGGATGCAAATAAATATTTGCAAATAATTTGAAGGGTCCTTAAAATGATAGAGACACTGCAAAGACCAGGGCTGTACGTGAGCGCTGTGATTTCATGAGTATTTATTTTACCTCATATATATACCCCACTTTTTCCCCCAGTGGAGACCCAAAGCAGCTTTCAGCTTTCGCCTCTCCTCCGTTTTATTCATACAACAACCCTCCTGTGAGGTAGGTTAGGCTGAGAGGAGGAGGAGGAGAAGGTTGGATTTATAACTCACCCTTCATTACCCAAAGGAGTCTCAGAGCGGTTTACATTCTCCTTGCCCTTCCCCTCCCCACAGCAGACACCGTGTGAGGTAGGCAGGGCTGAGAGAGAACTGCTGGTGAGAGGACAGCTCTGAGAAAACTTGGGACTGACCCAAGGTCACACCAGCAGCTGCATGTGAAGGAGTGGGGAATCAAACCCGGTTCTCCCCGATTAGAGTATGTTGCTCTTAACCACCACACCAAACCTTGGCCTTGGAATTTCACTGGGTGACCTTGGCCCAGTGTCAGCCTAGCCTACCCCACAGGGTGGTTGTTGTGCGAATAAAATGGAGGATAGAAGAATGGTGTAAATTGCTCTGATCCCCCACTGGGAGGAAAAACGAAGTATGTATATCTAAACATAAATAACATGAGGGACCGTCTGTGGGTTTTTGTGTATGCTCATTCCTAGATCCCAACAGAGGGTGTTTTCCTTCCCACAGTGCTCTGGGCTCGGACACGACCCCGCTTCCTTCCTGGGCCGCTCTGAACAGCAGCGCTTGGGGGAACCTCAAGCAGGCCCTGAAAGGCCTCTCGGTCGAATTTGCGCTGCTCGCGGACAAAGCGGTCCAACAGGTGAGCCTCCCGCGGGGCCTCGCGACTCCTTTACGGAACGGGGTGAATATCCTGACAAAGGTGGGCCTCGGAGTGGCATCCATCTCCCCCAGCCTGGTTTGCACCAGGAGTCTGGACTGTGAAGCGGCGAACCCCAGAACGCTCCGGTGGTTGTCCACAGAGACTCTGACTGAGCTGATTTCCTGAATCAGCTTTCTCACGGCTGCTGTCTGGTTTCACACCGCCGCTTCCCTTTCATTTGTCCTTCTGCTTTCTAGGGTAAACAGGAAGAAAATGACGTGGTTGAGAAGTTGAACCTTTTCCTGGACTTGCTCCAATCCTATAAAGTGAGTCCACTTGTCTGCTGGCCAGCGTGTGAGCAAATGGCTTAGAAATAGCTCGTGCGCGCCCCTTGGAGGGTGTTGCCCTGGGCAAAACAGACCAGGGAGGGACTCGGTTTAGATGCTGAAGAGAATGTAGGACAAGTTGTTTCTTCCTGGGGCTGTGCTGGAGGAGGCAGAGGCGGTCTGAAAGTCTGCCAACAAAACCAGAGTTCCGTCACCTGATGCAAATGCCCATAAAGTTGGAGGTCCAAAGAAGCTGTCAAAACCAAGCGCTACAATGCATATATATTGACACATAAGAATGTAATAATACGGTATAACAGGTAAATATTTTGCCAAGGAGTCCTGATCAAGAAGTCATAAGAAGACATAGAAGAGTTGACTTCTTCCGAACATCATCAGGTAAACAAAATTGTGTCTTCCTTTAATTCATCATAGATTGTAATCATTCATAAAGGTAAGCATGTGTCTGAAAGTTACCATGTATAATGGATTAGGACCTCTTTGATTACCTTTATGAATGATTGCAATCTATGATGAATTAACAGAAGACACAATTTTGTTTACCTGATGATGTTTGGAAAAATTACAAAACGGAAGTGTACTCCGGGGAATTTCGTCAACTCTTCTACGTCTTCTTATGTCTTCTTGATAAGGACTCTTTGGCAAAAATACTTACCTGTTATACTGTAAACTCTTCTACGTCTTCTTATGACTTCTTGACAAGGGCTCTGGCAAAATACTTACCTGTCATACTGTATTATTACATTCTTATGTGTCAATATATATACTTGTAGCGCTTGGTTTTGACAGCTTCTTTGGACTTCTGTCATTAGTTTACTTGTAGCTGTGACGGTTGGAGTGCTGGACCAGGACTTGGGAGAACCAGGTTCGAATGCTCACTCTGACACGGAAGCTCAGTGGGTGACCTTGGGCCAGTCACACGCTCTCAACATGACCTACCTCACGGGGTTGTTGTGAGGATGGAATTAGGAGAGAGAAGAATGACGTAAGCCACCTTGGGTCCCCATTGGAGAGGAAGGTGCGGCGTAATGTTCTCTAAAATGTCTGTCATTAGCAACCTTGCTCAGGTCTTGCAGACTGAGGGCCGTGGCTTCCTAGAGAGTCAGTCCGTCTCATATCAGGTCTTCCTCCTTCCCTAGCATTACGGTCTTTTCCAGTGACTCTTGTCTTCTTATAATATAATGTATTCTTATAATAATGTGTTCTTATAGAGAACCAGTTTGGTGTAGTGGTTAGGAGCGCGGACTCTAATCTGGGAGAACTGGGTTTGATTCCCCACTCCTCCGCAAGCAGCTTCTGGTGTGACCTTGGTTCAGTCACAAGTTCTCTCAGAGCTGTTCTCTCGAGCAGTTCTCGAAGAGCTCTCTTGGCCCCACCTATCTCACAAGATGTGCGTTGTGGGGAGGGGAGGGGAAAGGAGATCGTCAGCCCACTCTGGAACTCCGAGTGAAGGGCGGGGTATACATCCAACTCTCAGCCTGATCTACCTCACAGTATTGTTGGGAGGATAAAATGGAAAAGGGGGAGAAGTCCGAGGGCTGCCCTGAACTCCTGGGATGAAAAATGGGATGAAAACTCTAATAAAACAGCCTATGAACCTTTTCTCCAATATCCCCCCCCCCACTGCTCCCAGTCTGACTAAGCATGATGCTCTGAGACTCGCCTGTGAATCAAGGCCGTTCCCTGTTGAAGACTTACCATAGTGGTGTCTGTTGTGGGGAGGGGAAGGGAAGGAGATTGTAAGCCGCTCTCAGACTCCTTCGGGTAGTGAAGGGCGGGGTATAAACAGGGCCGGTCCGAGGTGTCTCCGCGCCCTAGGCGAGGCCAGCTTGTGGCGCCCGTGCACCACAGGTGATGCCAACCTCCCGGTGGGGCCTGAAGGCGGAGGGGGGAGGGGAGGGTGCCACCTCAAACAACGAACCTCGAGAGGCTCAATGGGGAGGGGGGATCTCTGGAAAACGGCTGCCGCCCCCAGCCCCGGGCTCACCATCTACGAGAAAAGGCTGAGGTCAGCAGTGTAGGGCAAGAAGGCGCTGTAGTTGGAGGGGCCACTGGCCGGATCCAACAGGGCTTTCTCAGG